GCGTTCTGTCGTTGAAAATACATTCCGCGGTTAATCGACGCTTACACGAAGACCGATTACCCGCGGCCGGGAGACACACACCGCTCTGACAGACTAATTAATTGGCTATTAATGATCCGTATGCGAGATGATTTGCGCGGCCTTCCTGTTCACGCCGAGGAACGTTGGTTACTTTGTATCGGCCTTCGGATATTACGTAACTGTTAAAGTGTGCGAGTGTATAACTTTCTTATCCGGTCGTTCTGCTCTGTACCCTCGCGAACAGCTCGAATTTCTCGATACATGACCCTCGATATGCGACTGTGCACGGAGAAAAAGGTTTGCTTGAATCTATGTGACAATGCGAAAATAATAAATGCATTTTGGTTGAAAAAAAAACAGAATTTCTGATTTTCAGAACCAAATTTGCTTCTTCAATCTTTCATTCCATGTATCTTTTTTCTCGAGATCAAAAATAACGTGGAGGAATTTCGAATGTGTGAACGTTGTGGAATGGCGGACCGACAATGAGTCGACACGCTGGAGCGGTAAAAAAGAAGAGACAGAAGTCTTTCGAAAAGTTGAAAAAATATTTTAAGATATGCAAAATAGCATATTTTATGCGGTCACTAGTTTAGGTCCCTCCGCAAAAAATAACCTGTGGCTAGCCAAAAGTCACAAATTATCGAGTATTTGCAGAGTAGACAAACAATGACCACATCTACCGCAGAACTGCACTGCAAGTCCTTTAGATGAAGCTCCTCTTACACCTGTCTTGCCGTTTTAAATCATTTAACACGATTAGACGTGTTAATTTAACACGATTAGACATTTTAAACGATGTGAGTTAAATCGGCCAAAAACGCATAAAAATAACTCCAGTCAAATATGTCATTTTAAGATGTTTCATGCGTGTAAAAATAACACTTGGATTTACAGTGTAAGTGTTAAAACAGTCGGTGGCTTTAATGCGTCCCGGCTGCGATAAGTTGACGAGGCGATCTTGGCGTTCAGTTCGAGATCCTCACAAAAGAGACGCCGTGCAGAAACGACGGAGAAGAGTGCTGTGTGGTCGAATGCAGTGAATTATGTACGGCGTAACGGTCTACTTGATTGTCGTCTCCGTTGCCAGGTAGGCGGATCGAGACCCGGCGCAATTTGCATCTGTTTGCGAGTCCTCGCCACCGCCCCTCTTTCGCTGGCTCATCAGAGAGCGATGTATATCGTTCCTCTTTCACGCCCGCGTACCACCCGATCGCCTTTTTACACAGCCGGATCGTCATTACGTCCTCCGGACACACCTGAGACCGTCCGATACGCCGCCTTTTTGTCGCGCGGAATTATTAAACCGACAGCGCCGAAAAGGCAGAGCGCGATCGACGGCGAGATTTTCAGCTGCTGCTCTCTCTCTCTCTTTCTGGAATTCTTTGCCGAACGATATTGTTCATGCCATTCCATCTTTAGTTTCCTTTCATCGCAAATTTTTTCAGAAACTATTACATTATGAGAGGCTAGATATGTTTACTTAGCATGCGTTTCTTTTGTTGTTTCTGTCGTGTGAGCTCTACTGGTTCTATTTGCTTACTCTTTACTTTATCTACTTAATTAGACCACTTAATAATTCGTGTAATAAAAATCTAAAAGATATATAATTTAAACATATAACATATAATTTAGTTGCTATACGTCCGCGTTTAAAGATAAGATTGTAAAGAAAAATTGAGGACACATCGTAAAACCTTAAAACAGCAGAAATGAGCATTACACTATAGTATCCTGGCTAACAATTAGTTATGATTGTTCTCGCAGCTGTAATTTCTCTTGTTTAACCATATTTATTTATATAGCCGTTATCTAGCCATTAGGAGAAGGTTCAATTTCTATCTCTCTTACTTTCGGTGATTTCTCAACACGGAACCGTGGTTCTACAACGAGATCGTCACTTCACCGCGAAAAAATCATTCGGATGCTGAAAGAGCTCTCTCACTAACCAGGTGTGTTGGCTTCGCGAGACACTTTGCGACGTTTCTCGAGAGCCATTCGCACTTTTCAAAGAGGAAATAGGGCAGATAATAGGCGGCGATCTCTATGGCTGCCGTAAATTCGCAGCGCGCGACGAAGTCCCAAGTCGCAATAACGTTCGATTCGTTCCGTGAGATCGCAATCCGGCCAGATCCGGTCCCTCTTTCCTATTCTTTCTCTCGCATTTTTATCGTGAACGTGACGCTGGCTCCTACGGCCCACTCCTCATCGATATCCATCTATGTTTATTACCATTCTGTTTACGCGCCCTCTTGCACAAACAGAAGGTTTACCGAAGACGACACGCATTAGCCTAGAATACGAAAGAGAACTAGCGGATTTTCCGTTGTAACCCGGTGTGACACCGCGTTGGGGGTCCTTGCCAGCGGGGCGCGGTGACACAAATCCTTCGAAAACAAGCTCCTAAATGTCTTTGTGTCCGCCTCTATATTCCGCTCCAATTCTTCACAAGCAAGATTCCCCTCGGCCATCTTCGTTTTCTCATGGTAGCGCCGTCCAAACTGCCGCTCAGCGATTGTCACCTACGATCGCAGGGTCTCCCCGAATGTCGAATTTTCACGGACCCGTCAACGTGAAAAATCGCTTCGCTTCTGGATAGAGATGTAACTTATTCACACCGGGATGTGCAGAAACGCACGATGAAAAGACGATGAAAAACTACGCGGACTTGCGGTCGGATTCTGTTTGAAGTGGTGTAACAATAAGGCCAGAGAGAGAGAGAGAGAGAGAGAGAGAGTTACAGGGATTCGTATAATATTTCGGAAGAACTTCAGGTAGAGACGTTAGTTAAAAAGGATATATTATAACCTGAGAAAACTATTTTCTCAATTTGAGTGTGTGTGTGTGTGTGTATGTGTGTGGTTGTGTGATTAAAGATGAAAATGACCGACACAAGTTTTTTTCGTAGGTTTTTTTCGGTCGGTTGATTTCGTTCATAAAAAGATATGAGGAATATTTCGGAAAAATATTTCGAAGGGACAACGGGTGGAATAACAACAAGTTGCTGAATATATTATTCAAGCCGTTCGGGGTTGTGCACCATTATTTAAGGTGCTTAATTACCAAAGGAAACCAGCGATCGATCACTGCCCTACGTCATCGCGCAGCTATTGTGTCGCATCCTGTTTCAGTCGTGCATCGTCATTTCCCCGATAGCTCGAAATGGAGGCCCACGAGCAGAGAGAGAGAGAGAGAGAAAGAGAGAGAGGGGGAGGGAGAAAGAGAAAGAGGGAGAGAAAAAGAGACGGGGTAGGGAGAAAGAGAGAAAAAAAGGAGAGCGTCCAGGAGTAATTCGCAATCATGCGTGAACAGCTGACACTTGAGATTAGGTAAACGCGCTTTGCGCCAGCGATTTGCGCTAAATCGTCTTTACTTAGCCTGGAAACGCGCAAGAAACGCACAATCTGCTCGAGCGATGACGCCGTACGGGACTGGTCGAGAAGATCCTGCCGGTTTTCTCCCATTACCTTAATTATGAGTTCCGCAAATAAGAATTTACCCCATTCTCTGCGAACGTCGTTCTGCCAAAAACACCCCACGCGACATTACGTCAACAATTGAAACTCGTTTGAAACTCGCGGCAGAATTCGAAGAGGAAGTCCACCTATTAGAAAAGGTTCGAAGAGCGCAGCCCCTAGTCGTATCTTTTGATTGGCGAAATCGCTTAATATTTATTCGCTAAATTCTCATCACATTCTCATCACCAGAAGAGATACGTGAAACTACCAAGAGGAGAGAAAATAATATCATTTCATCTGGTCTTCTTTTGCCCAAAATTGTGAACCAGTCCGTGACTCCAATTTACCCTCGAATTTAGACACACTCATTAACCGCCGAAGAACTATGAAACAATGAAGAACTATATCATTCACTTTCAACGAGGAAATTTCGATAATATCTGTCGACCTGTTCTTTTTAGCCGAACCGACTGCACTAGTTCAAGAAATTTACGCTGAAGCGTGAAAATCTCATATGCACGCATCATGCGCTTCAACGTGTGTGTACATTCCTCGAACTAGTACAGTACAGGTTCAAGTAAAAAGAGCAGCCTGTGTGTCGATTCTCAAGATAGTTTGCGAACCTTTTCCCCCGGCTTCTGATCGAGCCGATGATCGAATGGACAAAACAAGGAGACTCGCGAAAAGATCGCGGGGTGCGCGCGGGGAACGGGAGAGAATCGACCCTCCAGCTCGCGTCCATTGAGGGATAGAGGAGCGCGAGGATATACCTAAGTACGCCGCATGTTGGTCGTAAAAGTGCGACGGTAGAGTCGCCCAAGGTGCCCATCGTCTGGTAGTAAATGGGCGTGAACCAGAGGCGTGGACTAACCCGGGTTCTCTCCGTGCCCGATTGGTCGTTGTTAATGACGGTGTTGAGAACGCAGGTCTCTCTTGCCGTTCGACTAAGCGGCAGGATCCCACGTCGGCCGAGTAAGCGACGAGTTCCCCACTGAAGTTGGCCGCAGCATGGGGAGAGAGCTATCTGCCGAACGGGTGGTGGGAGCAGCCGGTCGTCAGTTATCCCCGATACCTCATCCCTGCGAAGCTTAGTCAGGATCAACGAGTCGATCTCTCAAGATCTATCTGAGCCGTTTGGCAGCCTGGTGACGAATCACACAGACTTGCTTCGGCAAGCGTCGCGAAGCGTCGGGTCAGTTAGGCGGAAACGTGGGGGACAGTACGAATTGACTCTTTCCCAAGAGAAGAGAAGCATTCGAAGTTGCGAGTTGGATACTTTGGATGGACCGTCATTTCGATTTTTCATTCTTCCGTGCTTCACGCCGTGATCGCCGATGGAATAGAACCGTTCGTAAAGCGTGAACGTTGTGGAAGAGCGCGGGCGATGAGAGGACTGTCGTAGTCGTCCTTATTGAAGTACTGCGATACCGTTCAGTGAGGTGCGATAAGTGGCGTTCGTCGTATTCGGTGCCGAGGGAACTCGTCCGAATTACCTTTCCTTGGCGGCCCGGACTGGCTGAGATGACGATTACCATTAACACCCCGATGATGCGACCATGCTTCACCACATATTCCTTCCAAGGTAATGTTACCAGCTTCAGCTGCGTTTGCTTTGAGCAATTGGCTTCTTACTCATTTTCGCGATATGCCTGCCGCCTCTTACTACTTTCATCTTGTTTCTCTTTCACGTATTTTCTTTCACACGTAAATTATATTCTTTATGTAATCAATTTCAATTTGTATTATATTCTATTATTTACATTATTATTAATTTAATATATTTCCATTTCGTTAGAGATTTAAACTTGAGATCACACATGCACACATACACACATACAATATAGTCAAACCGTGAGAAATTAACTAAAAGAGAGCACTAAACGTGCCTAAAATGTGATCCGGTTGGAGTTAAGTACCTTAACATAACTCGAAGGTAACTGACAAAACATCAGTTTGCGATACCTGCCTGGTTTGAGACACAAAAGTTTCCGACCTCATCGTCGTTGCCTCTTTCACAACATCTTGTTTGGAACATCCCCTGTGAAGTATATCTGCTTTAAAACGACTGGAGCATTGATGTTAATGACCGTCATAAATTACTCAATGATTTCTTGGGCCGGGAGCTCCCTTTTCACCAGTGTTATTCTCTCATTCACAATTTTCTCAATATCCGACGTCTTCTTTAGACAGCCGGAGGGATGTTTCTTGTTTTTCTCCGCGTAAAAGAAATAATACCGTTGACAAAGATACTGAAAATGCACGAAGAAGTAGCGTTTATTTGGGAGAAATTTAATGAACGGAGCAACAAATAAATAAACGGTACAAAATGAAACCGGGATATCGATATAAGTGTGATACGATGTTGATTAGAGGAACTCGAAATCTTGAAACATTACACGATGGAGAAATGTTCGTGTTTAATTTATAATGTATAATTTAATACGCTTTGAGAAGCAAGGACGCGTCTAAATTAGATTCTGTCTTATTTATTTACCGTCGGGTAATCTTGAAGTTAGACTTCTGTAGCCCGTGTAGACTCCTTATCGCTCGACAAACATGATATCGTCAATACTTTCCCGCGGGTCTATTGTGAAACTGATTGGGAAACTTCTCGATCGCGAGCACGATATTCCGTCTTTTAGTTTGGGCACTCTTTGTGAGTGTCCATTGACAAGCTGTTTTTATTAAAACATAAGAAATTTTACTAACACTTTTTGCGCGTCTCGTGGGAAGTTTTTGCGCGATCTCGAAAATTTTTTCCACGCCATAGAAAACAGGAGAAACGGAAACTTTTATATCTCGGAGAAATGCGGATGGCGGTAAGAAGCCTGCAAAAAGAATTAATGGTTTAGTCGTCCACTCAGCGCCCCATTGTTAGTTCGGGAAGGTGAAATAGAGAGTTTTTGAGGGCAAAAAGATCAAGAAGCTGTCCCAAGTAGATTTATACGACCTGCCATTTATTGTGTCATAAATTTAGAGCTTTATTGTCGAGATTGACTTCTGTATGTGCTGTATCCGAGCAGCATCCACTGAACGTCTCACACCCGACGTTACTCGAAGAAAAAATAACAGGAACTGCGAGGATGGGAAGTGTTTATTCTTCTTCTTCTTCTTCTCTCTCTCTCTCTCTCTCTCTCTCTCTTCCGATGGTTGTTTCGTCACGTGGAGTCAGCCGGCGATATTCGCGCGCGACGACGGGTCATACATAACGACGGGTCTTGCTAATTAAATAACGCGATTTGTCAGTGTCCGAGCGTATAATTTGCGCGGGTAATTAACAACCGGTCGTGATAATTTACCAGTTGGAAACGAGAGACGCGAAAGAACGCACGCTCGCGGAAATCGCGCCGGTGTAAATGATGGCGGACGATTAGCAGCTCGACGAACGCGCTTCCGTAAAATCCCCGACGCAAAAAAAAAAAAACCGAAGAAAGACGCTCAGCAACGACGGTCATTAATTACTTTGCGGTAGAATGCAGAATATTCGTTTTCCTTTTTCTCCTCAACCCCGTAATTCCATGATCGTATTGATTTATGACTCGCATCGCGCGCGAGCGGTTGGGCTCCCGCCGGGGAGCTTCTTTTCGCTCTTGAAAAATCCGCGATTTACGGAAAAGCGTTCACGGAAGGTAACACACGAGGAGCCAAGCCTGGTCCGGTATCTCCTCGTGGTCTCGTTTTGTTAACCGATCGGTTAAACCGAAAAAGCCTACTTGCGTGGGAGCGCGATCGCTATCGCCGGACATGCATAGTTTTTCGACCGTCGATTGCACCCGCGGCGATGCATGGCCACTGCGGTTATGCAAGCCTCTCGGCGCTATTCTGCGCAATCGGATAGCGGTTTCCTTTTTCTGCGGACGGCTTTTTGCCGGTCGCGTGGTCCGCCGTCCGAAGCCCGCTTGTCCTTTGTCTTACGCGACAAAGTGTTTTACGCGGAAATGTGTTTAATTACGAACGAAAGCGTGCGACCGTTGCGTTCCTCGTCTCCCGGCGACGCCACAGCGCCGACAACGTCGCGAGAGGTGTGCGTGTGTGTGATGTGGGAAATCGCAATATCTATATTTTCACCCACCTGGAACACGTCAGCGACGTGTGTGTGTGTGTGTGTGTGTTACTCTCGGCCGGCGTCCGCGCGAAAGATAATCACGCTCGGACCGTTCGTTTATCGCGGGATCGGCGTGTTTTACACGAATCGATTTACTTAGCGAGGGGGCGACACCTTTGTATCCGGGAAAGTGAAAGCCGCGGAATCGCGCTCGCTTCCTCCTCCTCGGCTTTATAAATGACAAGTAATTCGCAGCGAGTAATTTTGTGGGCGTTAGAAACTGCGGAATGAATTTCATCTGCGTCGGTGCGCCTGCTCTCCGTGACGCAAGCGCGGTACTTACGTGGTGGCGTATCGGTTGCTATTAAAGTAATTGCATACGTACTACCGGCGATCTCGCGCGAAAGACCCGCCGAGATAGGGGGAACCCCGAGTCGGAATTTTAGTCCTATCGCTTGCGCTCAGCAGAGAAGACAGCTTAACAAGCGCTTGGTGATTATTGTTTCCGATTGATACATTCTCCTGGATCGATGAAAGATCTGAACGAATGCTCCAATCATAATCCTCGAATCATAAAATGCTCAAATCATAATGCTCAAATCATAAAAAATAGTCAAGCGCTCATCAAACTGCTTTTTCCGCTGAACGCAAGTATTAACTTTCTAACGGCAACGTGGATTTTCAATGTATCAGTCAGAAAAGTGGGGTTGGATCCGACTCCATTCGAGTTGAAATTTGGAATTTTATGTACAGTCTTTCAAGTGGGGAAAACGGAAATGTTTCCACTTGTGGCACCAAAGAAGCTCCGTAATATTACGCAGAGAATTCAGCTCCTCCGGAGCGTAAATTTTAGTTCTGTATTAAGTCTTCAAGTGGAAAACAAACGGCAATAACTTTCCCATTTATAGCGCCGAAGAAGCAGAACGGAAGACTTTTGAACACTTAATGCAGAATTAAATTAGACTTAAACTAAGATTGAAATCTCGACTCGGGCATGCTCGGTTTCGCTCGCTTTTCACGCAATCAATGTAGGAAATGGGTAAGAGAAGGGAATAATAACATGAAACAATCCTTAAGAAGAGAAACAGCGCGTGTATGCTGTAAAATAAACAAGCTATGGGGTCGTATCCGATCCCAACCTTTACCTTTCGAGGGTCAAGTCTAGTTTAATTCTACATTAAATCTTCCAAGATCTTCTAATGTACTCCATTGATGTTACAAGTGAGAGATTATTTCCGTTTTCTCCGCTTGAGGGCTTAATGTGGAATTGAAAACTTCGATTCGGGAAATGAGAAAGAAAGGATTTTTCAGCTTCCACGACGGAGGCAATCCGTAAGTCCGCGATCTCGCGATCTTCCCGCGCATCTCGGGAAATCCTCGCGCGAAACGTTGAACCACACTGACGGCCACGGCGGCTGAGTTATCACGCGGATGAGATTTTCTATGGTGCCTCATCTTGTTATCCACGGATGCCGACGACTTTTTGCGGGATTTCCACGCGCGATACGAGTCAAGGCTGTTCCGCGTTTTGCGACACACGGTTGGCGAAGCGCGTTCCTTTGGAGCATCGGTGTAAATCGATTAGCATGAATAACGCCGATGGCTAATGAGTTGATTACGTTAACAACACACGTAACCGTATCGTCGTAACTAATAAGAGTGTCGCCGCTAACGAAGGAGATCGCTGCCGTCTCGCCTGGACGATCCGACTTTTCGTCGCGCTCTGTCATTGAGATTCCCTTTTTTCGCCCGTTTATCGCGAGCCGGTCGTAAGAGCGAGCGCGCGTTTTTCCATGCGATTGCGCGCGTCCCCTTTTTGCTGATCCCGATCGTTTCGTTATTACCCGCCATTACTCGCTCTCGGCGATAATAATATCGTCGCGAGCGAGCTTGATCGACGCCCCGCTCTCCTCTCAAAAGTACCCGGAACCCCGACGAAATATTCCCTCCTTTTTCTCTCTCTCTCTCTTCCCTTTTTTCATTACGGACGAGGAGGGGGGTCGCCGGAGCGTTTCACCTTGAAACTTAAATCGCGATCGCGCAGCCGCGCCTTTAAAGTTCGCGTTAGCGTCTGCGCTGCGCGCCGCCTTGCCGGCAGTAAAAATCGCAACGACTCTATTTCCTCGAGCGCGCGCGTTCCTGCCAGCCGCTATGAGACCGGCGAGATCGGGGCCGAGATCGTCGTCGTGTAACGCGAAATTAAATAAGCCAAGCAAATTATACGCTATCATTGTTGTACGTCGTAAACCGCGCGGGATTTATTGGACTTATCGGTAGTTACGGCGCTGTCGCTCAATACGCGCCAACGACTCGCGCTTATAACTCTCCTTCCTTCCTTCTTACTCGCCCTCCGCGTATCTTTCTCTCTCTCTCTCTCTCTCTCTCTCTCTCTTTCTGTCTTTCGTTCTCTCCGATTCGCGTGCGAATGTTCGCAGACGCGACTTCCCGCTGCCTCATTTTTTCGCACTATTTATTGAGACGTTCTATCACGACCGTCGAATGGACAAATTTTCGTAAACTAACTAATGATGGAAATGATATATGCATATATTGTGTTACACTGATAAATATCACATATATTATATTATATATATATATATATATATGATGTATCTTTTAATAGAATAAATCTCCATTGCTCTTGATCGGTAAAAGGTCATTAGACGAAGTGGCGCAACTCGAACGAAAATATAATAGATTTTGCCAAGAGGAAATATTTGTGGGTGGAAGCCTCGTAAGGATAACAAAAAAGTAAGGAGAGTGAGAAGAGTAAAGAGTAGTATTAAGTAAGTAATAAGTAAATAATAACAGTAATAAGAATAGTAATAATAAGAAGGGTTAGAAGAAAGTAAACGACGAAAAATATTCGATGCACAAATAGTTAAAGACATGTCAGTGTTTGCTTTAGCTTTATTATTGCTTCCCGAATGACATGTATCGTTTTGTTGCATCGTATAATTTCAACGAGATCTATCACTCGAAGAGTGACAGAGTCGTCGAGTCGAGATCCAGCCAATTTCCGCGCTGTTAAATCCACACAGATATTCAGTTTCTGCGAAACGTACCCTATTGGTGTGTTATAGATATCGGAGAAACCTGAATTGATCAAGGATTCGGGAGAAATATTTTTTTTTCCACGGATCATTGACGGAGACTTTTTTCCAAAAAATTTCTACGTCGTCCATTCTCACTGTGTACGAAATATTTCCAAATTTTTTATACGTGTAACCAACATGGGATGTCTTCACAATACGGTATAACAATACAATGGAATTTATTTTTTTCCGCTATTCCGAGGATACTATATTGCGCGTGCTCACGCGAATAAATAAATACAGAAGTCCGAATATCCGAATAAATAAAGAAAAAAATCCGAATATGTGTCCACGTGTTCGTCGATCGGCCTCATTCAAGGAGTAATGCAGCTTGGATACTTTAATTGAAACTATACACTTCTATATTTTGGCAAAACATTATCTATAAGCAATGTGACATTTTAAAGTTCGCATACGAAGTTCTCGCGTTTTCTAAATCATTTTATTCGAATTTTCGTTCGATTCTTTGTTAGACTCACTCCTTCTTTATAATTAAAAACGCTCTTCGTAAAATACACTATTCTGAATTCATAGTTCATATTTTTGTGTCAATCAAAGAAATCTTTAAGAAAACATTCCGAATAACGCCTTTCTTATCATTCTTTAATTCTTATCATTTAATTCTTATCATTCTTCTTTCTAAAAATGCTGCATAATTTTGCACATCATTTCTGTAAGTATTGCACGTTTGACCCATCTAACAATTCATCTATTCATCTAACAATCTATCTCTGTTTTTTCGCATAGCACTTATAAATGTCTAATTATAAAGCACAGACAAACATCTATACATAGACGTATTATTTTCTGTTCTGCTCGCTTAGCTGATTGAATGCATGTTGTGTATACTACAGTGCGATAATCGACGTTGAAATTGGGGGGCTTGCATTTACATGATTGTGTTCAAACACGATAAATACATAGCAAAATTATTTATTCAGATCTCGGCACGATACCAGGACAAGGCCGCGTGAATCAGCTTGGCGGAGTCTTCATCAACGGACGACCGCTGCCCAATCACATCAGGCTTAAAATCGTCGAGATGGCCGCGTCGGGTATCAGACCTTGCGTTATATCGAGGTACATTCCTGTCAAAGATTCTCTCAAGTAAAATTATACGACAGTTCTTCTCATAGAGTAGAACAATGCCTAACGTTTATCTCTAATCGCGCCCTGCTGAGGACAGGCAGCTCCGTGTATCCCATGGTTGCGTCTCGAAGATCTTGAATCGCTATCAGGAGACTGGAAGCATTCGGCCCGGCGTAATCGGCGGTAGCAAACCGCGAGTTGCCACGCCGGAAGTCGAGGCGAAGATCGAAGAGTACAAGCGCGAGAACCCGAGCGTCTTCTCCTGGGAGATCAGGGATCGATTGGTCAAGGAAGGGATCTGCGAGAAGGCGAACGCGCCCAGCGTATCCGCGATTTCCCGGCTGATCAGAGGTCGCGACACCGAGGATGACGCGAGAATTGGCGAGGGTAAGAAGATTTCAAACCACTATTTCCCTTATCGTCACGCGAGGACCTTCTTTAAACAAAATTCAACGACGTCGAACGACTTTATATTCTTTCGGAAAAAGGTCTTCGTCTATTTCCGTTACCCTCATAAGCAATCATATTGACGCAAACGGCTGTTTTCTTATATCAACGTTTCAATCAACTCCGGATTCCGATATATTTTTCTTTCCTGATTCCGATATATTTTCCTCTTACGAAATATATGACTCTTGTGATGTGTGCGTGTGTGTGTATACATACAGTTAATATGCGAATAGAGGTTGTTGTCAAACGTTTTCGAAGCGGGACCGAAACGTTCGGCGAATTTAATTGAATTTAATATAATATATCGGCATGTTTAGCTTGTAACCTTGAAGTGAGAAAACAACTGTTTCAGTTGATAAGTAAATATAGTTGCTTATACATCGGTATTAGATTCTTACTTGCCTTGCAATTTTATTTGTATATTGATTGTATACACACGACAGTCATATATTTTGTAAGGATCGGAAGGAAAAGTCGAAAGCTGTAGTTGATTGGACCGATAATCGAATCCGGCAACCTTTCGCTTGCCGGAAGACTGTTCTTATCACTAAACTACTCAAGTTTCCGCTTTGCTACATTCTCTTTTATTAAATGTTATCGATGTTTGTCAAGATGATGTTGCGCTTCAGTTCGCTTCATATCTCACAGTTCGGCCAACCTGACTTTACATTCGTCCTGAATATATTTACTAATCTAACACGTCTCTATATTCGTTCGCCGGCAAATGCTTTTTACCTGGAGCCGAAAATTAAACCGAATAATCACCTGGATGTTGGTCATGAATCTTCTAGCGTGAATTCATGAAAAGTATATATTTCCTGATTTGAAAACATTTCACTTTTCATTTTTCATTTTTCACATTTCTGTCCTAGAGAAAAGTTACACGATCGATATCCCTCTAAGCTGTAAGAATCGGAGGGACAAGTGTATCGGAAGTTGAAGTTTGTTGAACCGGAAATAGAATTCAGGACCTTCCGCTTACTGGTCGACTGCTTTGAGTTACCTAAGTTCCGATACACTCTCTTTCGTCCTCTTATTAAATATTTGTCAAATCATTCTTATTCCAGTGTATTGATTTTATCACACATTTATTTTACTAACGTCGTAATTATATATTTAACATAATTAACACACGGATTACGAGATATCCGAAGGTACATCTCCAATAATAACCTTGGAGGGAGTTTCTCATCGTAAATAAAAAATAGTATGTCGCTGCAACGGCCGCGATTAGATTCTTATCCTTTCCTTTGGTTGAGTATTTAATTTTCCCAAATCTGCGTGCCGCCATTACGTAGACAATTTTTGCACACGAGCAAGTCCTCTTACCGGACGCTTCTTTTTCATCATTTAATGGGCGGTTAAACAACGTCAATGCAAAGAAACGGTCTTCTCGAGACGGCGCATAATTCTCCGATCCGCCGCACGGAATTAACTCCCTATTCCGAATCAAACGAAACAGCGGACCCTTTGTGTCTCTATCACACCGACTGGAACACCTTCCTCCCGGGGGTTATTCACTGCTCGCTCGAAATTCCCTGCGCTAATGGCGACGGCGAGTTTCTCGAGCGGGTGTCCGCCCGGTTTCTCGACTGCCCGAGTTTCTTCCCGCGTCCTAACGGAGATTGATGATCGCCGGGAATCGGCGAATCAGCCCGACGCCGAGTATTCTCGCACATGGAATTGGATTATAACGACATCGACTCGTATAAGCGGGCCGCGGCTGCTCGTTACGCGACGCCTCTTAAAATTGAATCAGCCGTTCCTTTATGCTTCTTGCGAGCGTCACGACGCGGCGAGACGCGCGAATCCGCAAAAATCGGCCGAAACACGGCGCGGCGTGAGTAACGCGAGAATAGCGGGAAGGTGAGAGCCCTTCTTCGAATTTGTCACGCCGCCGGCAACTCGTCTCGCAAAATCAAAACCAGAAATGGATATATCATATTTTACGAATCGCACGTTACGGCCGAAGGTGCAGCGAGATCAACCAGACGTATCACAGGTGTGTCATGCTATTTAAGTTTCTTCGAGCGAAATTCCGCTGGAAAAATAAAAGCGAGAAAAATTCAAGCAGTAGTGAAAATATCGCCCCTCGGAGTCGTAAGAGTGGATTTTCCAATCGATTCGGGTGGATTTCTCCCTCCGACGATTCAACGATTCAAAATGGAGAAGTTTCACTCTACATCCGCGAAAAACCACTAGAATTCGACTTCGCTGTCGGTCTACTTTTCGAATGGAATTTCGCTGCAAGAAATTTGGGGGGCAAACTGAACATCGTAGAGGAGAGTCGTTGCCGCCAAACCACCCACTACTGACCCAGTTGGATCGGCGAATCCGAGGATGCAAACGGCACGGTGAAAGGAGCTCGAATCCGCCGACGTACGCGCGGCACGCCTCATCACCTGGACCACCGTGTGGAACCCACCAGGCTCGGCGAACGGTGAATGAGTAAATTAAATGCCCGCGTATTAATCGGCCGCGCGTTTCTCGGTCTCGGAAATTGCCGGTTCGCCTCCGGTACGCAGTCCGGCTCGCCTCCCTCCGGTAGCCGGCCGGCCGCACCGGGCCGGCTCTGTAATTTTCTCGCCGCCCGGCACATGCCCACGTGTGTTGTACGCGCGTACCGGGCCTGACTCGCGCACGTAAGGCGCGATGGGCCTTAGTCCGCGTCCTCGAGAGAATCGACGGGCGACGAAGGACGCGCGTCTAATGACTGACGGCCTACATGAGAATCGGGCTTCCCTTTTCTGCGATTTTCCCGGTTTCTCGAAGTGTCGAGGAGGAAATGTTAAAGGGATCGTTCCGAGATGAGAGAGTTCGATTAGATCGGTGGAAAATCACACCGGGAAGAATAAAACGATGGGTTTGTCATTTTACGAACTAATGCGTGCGTCGCAGTCTCTAAATTGTCCGGGATGAAATTTCACTGGGCAAAGTGACAGCCGAGTCACTCGAATTGAAGAGATTTTCTTATTTATACACGAAAAAAATCTCAGTCGCTGCGACCGAATAGGGACCAGATGAAAACCCGATAAGGAGAAATGTTGTCGAGCTGTCTCTGTTGCCGCGACTGAGAACATTTGTATAAACATTTAGCCGCATTAAAACTCGATCGAGACAACTAAGAATAGTTGACTGAGTGGAAACCGGCAGGAATCTGTTCCCGCAACCGAGTATTCGTCTGGTTCCCAGGCAACAGAAAATTCAGTTACACCGATGGAATCGTTTATCCCATTGTTGTTTAGAGTGAGACGCATTTTGCCAATTTTGGCCAAGCGGTTTTCTAACTCTATTGAGGAAAAACGGTAGAACGAACCTAGAATGGGACGCGCGTCTGACGTGCGGAAAGAAATTCTCACGAGATGCGGATACAAATCGGCGCTACGAGGGGTAGCTTCCCACCACGCTGACAAGACAAATGAAATGTATACCGACACGGATTCACCCTGAGATTGCTGAGAGTCTGTCAGCCGGCGAAGATGAAAGGGACCACGATTAGTAGGAGGGCAGGGAGGAATCCTATGTCTGTAAGTCGATCGTTCTGACGGTCGGGCGACCCCTCCGCCTCCTCTAAGAAAAAAAGAGGAAAAAAAATAAAGAAACTGGGGCAGAAATAACACGGAGAGGTGAGGAAGGAGCGAAAAGGCACGCCGTCTATTAAACGTCCACGGAACTGTGAATGCGCGTCGTGCTGCCGGCGCTGTCGAGAAGAAGTGACGCCTTTGTTCGCCGAACGTGTCCGATTGTTTTTTTCTCTCGCGTGCGAAACGCGTCGCACGGTATAACAATGCGTGTAAACTAAGGAGGCAACTGGACCAGGGTGGCGTGCGACATTTTAATAATATTACTGTAAATTGATATTACAGAGATAAAGGATCAGGTCCTGTATTGATTTCGCAGAGTAGCGGAATGTTATTTATTAAAGTTCACCGACAAATAAATGTTTCACACGGTAACCAATAATTGTAAAATAGACCAATGCAAGTGTGTAAGATAGATTGATAATTGTTAGGTAGACGGAATGATTGTGAGATTTTTTTGGTTCGGTTATATCATTGATAATTGACGTTTTCGCAAGAGGAATATTCTCTAAAATGTATTACCACTGAGAAGCAGTCTGATAATCACCGGTAATCATAATTAAAAGTATAGCACTGCAAATCAGTGAAATTTCGCTGAAAACTTCTGTTAACAGCAGCGACTATTTCCATCAGTAAAATCTGACAGTAGAAACAATGAAAAGAGATATTATTTATTGCTTCTTTTGCATTAATCATTCGTTTGTATTGTTTTACTTTCTTCATTTGTATTTGTTTTTCCTTTGTTATTATTTTAATGCTTCTTTTGCATCATTTTAATCCCCAAGTGTTCAACCATTCAATAATTTTGCCTATGAAGTATTCATATATATATATAATTGCGTTTAATTAAATTAACTTGCATCGTATTTGAAAAACACACTTACCTTGATGGAATTCGAAACTCGAGACCTCTGCTTTTGAATCTGCTGTCATATGAAGTGAGCTAAATACGACATGAATAAATACACGTGTACGTATTGCTGCTTTGGAGCGGGTAAAATCAGGGAAGTGCTAAGTGGAACGGGAAAATGATCGGACAGCCTATATTTTGATACAGAGTCACAAAGAAGAAAGGTTTATGTACGACGCAGTGATAATCATATCACGAACAGTTGCATGATCGGATGCAGTATCGACGTCGTGGCGTGATTTATCTATCGCGCTCAAGGAGGGCGTCGATTTCTTCTGGCTCGTAATCTCGCAACGCACTTGCGGGAGTGAACCACCGCCGGTAAATCACAAATTGCACGAACGAATCTCGATCTCGATCTTTCACGATTCTGATAGAGATATCACACGCGAGATTTTCGCGGCTGTTGTTTTCGTCGGCGCGTCCGTGCGCGATCCGGGCGAATCTGAAAAATCAGGATAGAAATTATATCCCTCGCAGGACTAAGCGTTTCGCAGCCGGCCGGTAATTCCCGAAGTTTTCGGAACCCGATATTTAGCTGCGGGATGAATGATTGCCAGGTTTGCCGATCGACCGGCGTCAGGACGAAGTCGCCATGTAAATTCGTCACCGCACGCAGCAAACTCTCGGACGGTATTATCACTGTGATACCGAAAACCTCTTTGTAACACGACAGCGCAGAAATGGTATCAGTGTGTCAGCATTGAAAAACGTTGGGATCAATTATAAGTACAGCACTGCAATCGGGAGAATTTTGCTGTGAGGATTCAGTTAATAATAGATAGTGGAATACTGCAGGTTTTGCTTTCTAAAATCTTACTTTCTCACTCTTAGAATAAAGCGATCTTGATGCTGAAATAACGTTATAGACCTCTCAATCCTGCGTCGCGAAAAAAGAATTGCAAGAGTCGTAGTTTCTTGCGTTTTCTTTAAATTGCTTACATTCATTAAGTTTATTACCTATTTGCATTTATTGTCTTTGTAGACTGGTTGCCGCTAGGAAACCAGTTACCTTATTAAATCAGGCTGTTAATAACAGTGGTCACTCCTTGGTAGAAATGTACGCAGCTTTCTTAGACATCCACCCAGTTACTGTCTGGTATTAATGCATTCTCATCATTCTCATTAGTTGTAACAATATTGCCCAGGAAATGGGCAAGAACTTGATAGACTCTTATTCAGAGATACTTCGAAGGCAAAAGGTTGTCTATTTCATTTTCTTGCAGCATGCATGCTCATTAATCAATTGAATAGTTTTTGTTTGGTAAATGGGTTCAGACTTTGCGTATCTTTTGTACGCAGTAATTGCAGGAAAAGCGTTACATCTTGATTCCCAGGTAATTTTATCCCTCAAATCGTAGGCCTAACATTTTATTATCAGGGTGAACATTTTATTTCCTCCAACCAGAATCAACGAAAATAATAACGATAATCATATATGTGTAATATAATGAAATGTGAGGACTGTAGGTGGAGCTAAGCGGGGATATTTTCGCTGAAAGACGATGAATACGCATCAGTGACAGATATGTTTCGCTGATTGCCGATTAGAAACGTAGTCACTGCTTCGCCCGAAGAGAGCGGAAGTTTCGCGCAAGACGTAACGCGGATTGTCCGTGGCAAAAATTCGACTTCAGTGAAACCTCCCTGTTCGCGCCAAGAAGCCCCGTTTGGCTCCGCTTAGGAATGCGAATGATGTCAACACGGCGAATAACGCGCGTTACTGTGCTTAATAACGATTACGCAAATCATTTGCAACATTAACGGCTACGATGTAACGCGCCAGGTAAATGGAACATCGCCATCGATTTCGGAAGTCGGGCCACACCTGAGCGCCGAACGATCCGACACCGTCGATCAGCCCGCTGTTTTATTTTTATCCCTCGATACCGGAGCGCTCGTTCGCGCACCTCGTCTCGCCTTCGCGCCGATTTCGTCGGAAGGAAATGATCGCCCACGTAAGGTCCTGCCGGCACGTCGGCGCTATTTCTGATCGTTCATCGCACGTGAACGTGGCTCGATCGCGCGGGTTGTTGGACCACGTCGTCGCCTGCACTATTTCTATCCTCGCGGATAGGTGTCGGCGGATTCGTGAAACCCTGGACGCACGGCGAGAGAACGAAAAGTGAGCAGGAGACGGCGGCGGAGGCGGAAGGGAAAAAAAGCACGACGACGGGCCGGGAATAGAGCCCGTGTCGAATTTGCATTAACGCGGGCCGTCCTGGCGTCAGGCGTCGTCGTCCGATTAGTCGCGCGCCGTGTAAACTCGTGTCTCGAAACCGACGACAATCCCGAAATGCGCCGACGGATTGCATCTCGTGCGCTCGTACGCGGAAGCAAAAAGTCTCCTCGTTTCTTTGCGACGTCTGCTCGTCATCTGGCCCGCTGCTCGCGATGAAAACGCGCGAAAGAATGCCCGCTTTGAGAGCTCGAGTGTAACGTGGACGGCGGAACCGTTAAGGTGAAATTCCCAGTGCGCAGAGTGTCGAAATTTCGACCCGATGTTACGTTTGTTATTTTACAACACAGTAGGGAACTAAGATAGTGGAATAGACTCAATTCTAATGATGTACACTGAAAATTAGTCTTAAATCAATGATAGATATTTTCCTCTATATAAGCAAGGATATTATGATTATATATTCTTCGAAGATTTTCCATCTCGAATTGAGCGCAAATAATATTTTCGTCAATATAAACTCAATCAAATCGGGATTAAACGGATTCTAAAAAGATTATAATATTCTTGCTTATGTATGAGAATCTCTATCACTGATTTAAGACTAATTTTTTCTACATAATTTACTCCTACTTTGGCCATGATGATGTTTTAAATTTCCCTGCATTTAGCGTCAAAACATAATGTTTTAAACACTCGCACAAATTTAATAATCGAAATATCGAGAACACCTATAGCTTCGAAGTAGCGGTAAAATTAAATCTAAGATAGAGTCGAAAGTTCAAGAGAGGGAAGTTAACAAATTGTATCGTCCAAATAGAGTTTTATTGGTCTCTAAGCCATTTAAGCAGGTATAGATTATCCTTAACGCGTTCATTGCCAAGCCGAAAATTGGAATTTCGTATTTTTTTTATTTTTTTATTTAGTTTTTGTTGTGCTCAAAATAAGTTAATATATTATTTATATGCTTTTATTATTATGTGCATAGGATTTATTACTCTAAATAGGATTATTTACTCTAAATATCTATTACGCGATATCGCGTGATTGGCAATGAACGTGTTAAAAGCGTCCAAGTAGCGTCAAAATTTCAGCTCGGGATAGGTCAGGTCTGTTAAAAATCTCCAGAGTCATTAAGTGCCTATCACGCCTCTTTCTCACTCATTGTTGTCTGTTTGCTTGTTTACATCATTCGAGATTTTCGGATCCAAACACGCTTGTTTCTGCTCTTCTGGCCGAGACTTGACGACTCTCCCGTGTCGAAGCTTGACGTTTCAGCTATCCTACCGATACGCTGCCTTTCGGAGTCCTCTTTCAACCGCAAGAGAAGGGCCATATGCTTATTTCACACTTGGTCTACGATCTTGTTTACACTCCCGCGCGACCTCCCTCGACTCACCTGCCTTTCCCTCCCGCCGTCGCTGTCTACAATACGTAGAAATTGTTTTGCGCGGTTTCTTTGTCTCTCGAAAGCTAACGGGTGACAACGAGCGTTTCATAATTGCTTCATGGCTTAATCGCGCAATCTTTCCGTCGACCTTGAGCTCGGGAAAATCGCGCTGTCGAGTGTTTTGCAATAGTCTCCCGCCATGCAAATCGCAACGCGAATTGAACTCGAAGGCGGACCGAACTGCGTTGGAAATTAATCGAAAGACATCGTACGATCAATTCTACTAATCCGGATGTGCCACCCTGTTTCAATAACAACACTCTCACCTGTTTCAGTTAAGACGAGTTCCGGATCTGATTGCGACAGTGAGCCGGGCATCACTCTGAAGAGGAAGCAGCGCAGAAGCCGGACGACCTTCACCGCCCACCAGCTGGACGAGTTGGAGAAGGCCTTCGAGAGGACCCAGTATCCCGACATTTACACTAGAGAGGAGCTCGCCCAGAGGACGAAGTTAACAGAGGCTCGAATACAAGTCTGGTTTAGCAACAGGCGAGCCAGACTTCGCAAGCAGGTCTCTTCAACGACCGGCGGCTACAGTTCTATGACGTATTCCACGCCGTACGTGCTCCACTCGTCGGCGCCACCTCATCCTCACGCTGCGGCGGCCGTGCCACCTGTTCACCCGCATCCTCACGCCCACCCTCAGAACTTGTCAGACGGACCGTTTCCCACGAACCAAGGTGCGACGGATTTGGGATAATCGATTTTTGCATCGAGACTATTTCTTATCCGGCCGAAATGACAAAGACTATGAGGATTATGGATCCGCAATAGGTGCAGTAAGACTCGAGTCTTTCGCTCTGAGCACTTAGTTGTGACGTGATTTCTGGGAAAAAAGCGTTTCAGCGCTATCGGACGTTGCAATTCCTAAAAAGGTTTCTGTCGTCGTCATTGCCGTCGTCTTGTAACGTCCGTAAAATTAACATGACACGCGACCTCCTTTTCAACCCGCCGTTTGGCCGTGATTTGGTCACGTTAATTCTACGGTTTATTTATTGATTGTCCAAACGAAAGAGGAAAGTGTTTGGAGTATTTTGCAAGCGCGCCGAATCGCAAATGTCATTTTGTGTTTTCTGTAACTTTTTATTCGAACCGTATATTCCCTCTCTCCTCCGTAAGAATTTTGAATATGGATTTTCTCGCTTCCCGACGTCATAAGGCGAGAACTTCAAGCGTCATTACGCCTTTTCTCAGGAATTACGTTACATTTCATTGCTTAGAACAAATGGTTATGGGCTCACTACATTTATTGTAAATCCAGATTCCGAAATCGCGGCATCGAAATCGCGAAATTGAAAAGTTTGGGTCCCAGACATATTTACGGATTATTACAATGAGCTTTTATAGCGACGTTATGACGATAACGACGACGTCCGACATCGAGGGAGTAATTGACATTGTTTTCCGTTTCAGTTGCTGATCTGTATCCCCATCATTCAGCGATGTCTCAGCAACTGGTGGGGAATCCCCCGCGTCTGTCGTCGTCCATCGCATCCGCTCCACCGTACAGCTTCACGACCGCATCGGCTTATCATCCTGCCTCGTTGTTGCCGGCATCGTCCGCGGTTACTCCCATGAGTCACCAAGTGTCTCCCGTACCTTCTACCTCGTCTACCTTCCAAGCCGGCGGTCATCATCAATTGCCACCTACTCCGAATTCTCTCGTGACTATGATGGGGCCAAATTCCGGCAACTCGAACTCCGTTCCTGATCAGCTGAACGCGCCTGAGCTACCAATTAATCCGGTCTCGCCCGTCCAGCAGCAGCAGCAACAGCCGCCGCAGCAGCACCAACAGCAACAAACCAGTCAAGAGAACGTGACGCCATCGTGGAACGCTGCGATTACCAGCGGCGCTAGAATGAATCTCCCGAGTCCGCCGATGAGCCTTCAGCAACCTCATCCCTATAACGCTCACCAGGCTCATCAGGCTTTTGCAAGTTCTTACAGTGCCCAAGGCTTCCAGCAGCAATCGAGACCAACCAGTGCCTATTGGTTTTGAAGTTTGTTCACGCAGATGTTAATTACATCCGACGCTTGGTGATGATATCACAGACTTTTCATTTATGGAATTGACACGGACTAGGCAAAGCGTCTAATTTTATGATTATTATTCTTTTACTTTCTTTATTTATGCTTCCAGTTCCCGATTAGATTTTCGTCCACCAAAAGAAGAAGTGTTCAATAATTAAAAACATTCAGTAATTAAAACATTCTTGGATTTGGCAATTTCGATCGCCCTTCGTAAAAAGAATGACGCTTTGCCTAGTTCGCGTCAATTGTCTTCCATAAATGAAAAGTTCTAGTCCAAAATTGCCTGTTGGTTTTGAAGTTTGTTTACGCAGATGTTAATTACATCCGACACTTGGTGATAATATCACAGACTTTTCATTTATGGAAGACAATTGACGCGAACTAGGCAAAGCGTCATTCTTCTTAAGAAGGGCAATCGAAATTGTCAAATCCAAAAATGTCTTAATTACTGAACATTTCTTCATTTGATGGACAAAAATCTAATCGGGAACTGGAATCATAAATAAAGAAAGTAAAGGAATAATAATCATAAAATTAGATTAAGTGTTATAGTATTAATTTTTTAATTTTCTGTTTCGCACAATTTTTACAAACTTAATACTTTTATTAACAATCTAATATATGTAGACTCGTTTAGACTGTAATTATTCCATTCTCTTTTGTCACAGTTTCCTTTTAGCGTACGTTTCTTATCGTTATTCTTTACGAGAAAAATCTTTATCACTTTAACGTTTCCTCTGCGGTTTGTAAATCTACGAAATTAATCTAAGATATCCGATCAATTCTGCAATTGGTCGTACAAAATTAATTATGCACACCTGCATTGACTGAATAATTGACCGACTGTCTATTCATATTTTCTTTGTATTATTGCTGGGATTGCCAACTGTTCGGTTTTGAACAAGACTGTTAAATTTCCAAGAGTCTTGTCTGATGTTTGGCNGGGGGGGGGGGGGGGGGGGGTTTAAATATATTCAATTGACAAAATGAAATTTACATCATGAAAGAAAATTTATAAACAAAGTTCGGATTTCGTTTTTCCCATTTCAAGCGTCTACTAGCAGTCGAGCGCCGCGAGAAGTACTGTCATTTACCAGAACGTCCTCCAATTCTCGTTGTTCTCCATTAGTAGCCGCTTGAATGTTTTAACAAAGCGTATAAAACATAATTTAATTTGTTGGTAAATTTTGTATTAAATGATAATAGTTTATTATTTTATTCAATCAAACTGTCCTCAAAATTGTTTGGAAAACAATATCGGAAGTAACTTCTTATTAAATTTTGTACTTAAGAACTTTCTCGTAAAAAATAACGATAAGAAAGAATCATACGCTAAAAGGAAATCGTGATAAAAGAGGAGGGTATAATTACAGTCTAAACACGTCTACATGTATATAATTGTTAATATTAAATTTGTAAAAATTGTGTGAAGTAGAAAATTAAAAAATTAATACTATGATGAGTACTAGACATAATTTTTAAAGATATGTACTTTTCACGTTTCTAGCATAGTACAAAAGATTGTACTTTACAAAATAATTAAATTTAAGTAAATATTTGCTAGCCGTTGTATATATTATGTACATATATGCCATATGTACATATATGATGTTTTTAAATTCAAAATCATTTCATGAGAAACGTCAAGTTTTTTTACAATATATCCATAGCGTAAAAAAGCAGGAAACTATGTACATACATTAAATATACTTGCTCTTGTCGACGCTTCATATCTTCATTTCCTTTTCTCCCTTTAGTTACGTTTAAATTTTATTTCAGCTTTTGTTCTACTTTATACTTTACGATGCAACCAAAAATATTAGATTTTAACCTATATCTACTTTCATTATAAATATTTTTAGGTTTGAAATTTTTAACGTTATATTAAATTTATTATCTCTTAAATATTTGTTCGTATACAAACGAAAACAAATTCTATAATAATTGTAAAATAAAATTATATAATTAAAAATGACTGATTTTATTTTCCTTTATTTTAACACTTCTACCAGTTAAAGCTATTAATCAAAAGGTCATTAATAAGCTTCCAAGTGAAAAAAGTGTTTGTTATTTATTAATTTAAAATTATATGATTATATTATTTGTTTGCAAAATTGAAAATTACTATCGCAATCAACGGTGCTTACTGAAATCTAACTGCGTTAGAGGTCCTGTCGTTCGACTCTGATAGATCTTGATGTGAAACTTTCTATTCTAACATTTTTCCCCATAACTCATGGTTAAAAAATATTAATTCTACATATTCTACTAAGTATTATTCTACTTACTATGTTATGAGAATTTGCTATTCTGACATGTTTCTCCAATACACACGATTAAAAATTACTATAGCAATTAACGGTGCTTGCTGAAATCTAACTGCATTAGAGGTCCTGTCGTTCGACTGTGATAGATCTAGATGTGAAAATTTCTATTCTAACATGTTTCCCAATCATTCATGGTCAAAAAGGTATTAATACTACATATTCTACTAAATATTATTCTACTTACTATCTTATGAGAACTTGCTATTCTGACATGTTTCTCCAATACCCACGATTAAAAATTACTAATGCAACCAACGGTGCTTGGTGAAATCTAACTGCGTTAGAGGTCCCGTCTTTTGCCTCTGATAGTTCTAGATATGAAACTTTCTATTCTAACATGTTTCCCCATAACTCATGGTCAAAAAATATTAATTCTAAATATTCTAATACACGTTCTTCTACTTACTATATTATGAGAACTTGCTATTCTGACACGTTTCTCCAATACTCACAATTGAAAATTCCTATTGCAACCAATGGTGCTTGAAGAAATCTAATTGCGTTTGAGGTCCCTTCTTTTGATTATGATAGTTCTAGATGTGAAACATTCTATTCTAACACGTTTCCCTATCACTCATGGTCCAAAAATATTAATTATACATATTGTAATAAAGGTTATTCTCCTTATTATATTATGAGAACTTGCTATTCAGACATGTCTTTCCCATACCCACGATTGAAAATTACTAACACAACCAACGGTTCTTGGTGAACTCTAACTCCGTTAGAGGTTCTGTCTGTCGACTCTGATAGATCTAGATGTGAAACTTTCTATTCTAACATGTTGCCCCATAACACATGGTCAAAAAATATTAATTCTACATATTCTAATACAAGTTCTTCCACTTACTATATTATGAGAACTTGCTCTTCTGACACGTTTTTCCAATACTCGCGATTGAAAATTCCTATCGCAACCAATGTTGCTTGAAGAAATCTAACTGCTTTAGAGGATCTGTGTTTCGACTCTGTTAGATCTAGATGTGAAACTTTCTATTTTAACACGTTTCCCTATCACTCATTGTCCAAAAATATTAATTCTACATATTCCAATAAATGTTATTCTACTTATTATATTATGTGAACTTGTTACTCTGACATGTTTCTCCAATACTCACCATTGAAAATTACTATCGCAGCCAATGGTTCTTCATGAAATCTAACTACGTTAGAGTTCCTGCCTTTCGACTCTGTTAGATCTAGATGTGAAACTTTGACAGACATTGTTTTATCAGGATACAATTCTTGTCAAGTNAACAATTCTTGATGTTGTGCCTAGTTTCAGACATTGTTTTATCAGGATACAATTCTTGTCAAGTATCTCTTAATACATCTTTTAATTATGAGATTTTCGCAATATTAGACGGTATACGATGCTTATATATTTATCTCTGTCTCCTAGGTAAAACACTGGAGTTATGTTAACAAAGTTATTCACCGTCTTTTATGAGGTTATCTTTTAAAATGCTGCCGTATTACACGTGTCTAGTTTATAGGCAGTTTTGTATTTTTCGTGATATTCGCGATGCAGCAACACTCTCACACAGCGTCTGTGACAAATAAGGAAGCTCGCGAATTGTCAACATGAGAGAGCGACACTGCCGTTCAATGTTAGAACTTCTATGTGTCAGTCTTTGTCGGTAAGAATGGATAACACAATAACAACTGATCAATAGTGGGTAAGTTAAATTTCTTGAGGTCGATCAGTTATCGAGAATCGTTCAGTTACCAAGCTCGATAAGTTTCCGGAGAGCGGTAAGTTACCAGAGTCGATAAGTTTCCAAAGAACGGTAAATTACCAGAGACGATATGCTTCCTGGGATCGGTATGTTTCCCGGGGCCGGTATGTAACTTTCTTGCACATCGCAGAAGCAAAGTGAGGTTCAAAGATTCCAATTTTTGGATAGATTCAAATAAGGATGGTACTTCCGACTTACCCAATGCAAATAATTTATACTATATTCTGCATGCAATCGATGTCATTGATGTGCATTACGAAGGTCTGAGAAATCTGTATAATCTCATAAATTTCAAGTGGCTTAGCATTAAGTATGTCAAAAATATCTATGACTAGGACTTTGAAAAAATATCAACAGGGCTTCCNATTGGAGAGGCACTGTATAGAATGTTCAATGTGAAGAAATTGATTGTTACAAATCACAACAAATCTGCTGCGCCAGAGGTAACTTGTATGATGTTAGAAGATTTTATGCCTCTCTTGGCTTGTGAGAACGCTTGGAAATATCGAATGATATTAAGTAAGGTTACAGTTTGCAATAAAAGTATCACAGAAATATTCATCTCTATATGTAATACATACTATTTTTATAATTTCAACTTCGTTGCAAATCATCTGTCATTATTGGAAAATTGTAGTAAATAAGTCATTATGTAATAAAAGTCACAATTTGTTCAATGATGTTAACTCCTTACCAATTAATTTTTTTTCTCGACGTTTCATCATAAAATATATTTCAATTTGTAATACCGCATATCATATTTTCATCGTTACAAATAAGTTTAATATGTTTGAAACAAA